ACGTAACTCCCCCCTTTTTAAACGCCGACAGTCATACACACCATGAACAAATACCTTCCTCCTTTAGGCCTGATTTTGATCTATCTCATCATCAAGATTGGAATCCTCTTCATATCATTCCCCTTCTTGGGATCCGTGGGGTATCGCACTCCCCCTACCCCTACGAGCCCCTTTCAATCAGCGAACAAAATCTCTTCGTACAACGGTCGATCAACGAGAGGTGCAGCGGCAACGGCCTAAAAAGGAGGCTGTGACGACGTCCTGGACATACTAGAGGACAGCGGGAGTCTCCCACACAGAACGCATGATGTGTTGCTAGTGTACCCCCCACACAATGCGGGTAGAAGAGAAAGGATGCAGGTAGAAGAGAGAAAGGCAAAGACGGCTATGGTTTGACTCTAATATCAAATTGAATTAAGAAAAAGCCAAAAAACACTATTTCAATCAACATGTGTGTTTAAATAGGAGTTACAATGATTAACAAATAAACCCAATAAAATCCTCTTATTATACATAACTAATAGCCTAATAAGTTAAAATAGGGCCCTAATGAGGGCACCCAACCATAAGGTCTAGGGATGCGGAACCGGTCCGTCAATTAGACCGCTACTTCTGGTAGCGGGACCAATCCCATCCGTACTTCTGGAAGGAATCACTGTGTTAGTTACACTAAGAAAGAAGACAAACAAAATGGAGATATCTTTACTCCGATTGGTCACCAATGCTCATGTCCATTTGGGATACCAAAAAAAGATCGGATTGGGCGGTTAAACTTTAATGAATCTGAGAACCCTAACTAATACCATTCGTTATGCTTTCTGTTACAAAGAAAAAGAAGATGAACAATAGGTAGAAATCTTTACTCTGATTGATCACCAACGCTTTCAAGGCTAGCCCATGGAACACGTGTCATTGCAACCATTTCAGCATCAAACTTAGTTTCAATACCATGTACTAATGTCAACAAAGCTTTTGTTATAACTGCAGAATACTCATCCTGCAGAGAACGCAATCATTGATGAATATGACTAAAAAGTTATTTGATAGTCTAACTTGTTTGATTGGAAAAAAATAAACACCTGAACTTCAGACATGTCCACCTTGTCTGCATATTGAGATTCAATGAGCTTCGAGACATTTTCTGCAAGCTCGCCGGACTGTAATTCATGAAGAGACCATATTTACTCAACACGTCAAGGATGAAAAACAAAAAGTATATATATAAACTTTGACCCAACACGCCAACCCAATCTGAACTCAACTCAAAAAATTCGCTGATCCGGATAATTTTTGGGTGGTTTGGATTAAGAATCCTAAATTGCTTAATATTCTGAGTCGGGATTGCGTTGATCTCTCAACCCGAAACTAAGCCACTCACAAAAAATCAATTCAAAATCAACCCGACAACTCAAAATTGACCCAAGATTGACTCGAAATCATCTTAGAATAGTTGTTATGCCTTATGTTAAATATATTATACGTGTCGAGTTTGGGTCAATAGGTTGAAGGTGGACCAGGTTCGGGTTAGATTTTCTAATTTATTTAATATTCGGGTTGGTTTTGGGTCAAATAGTTTTGAATTGGAAAAAAATATGAGTCACACCTAAACCCGACTCACAAACCCGATTTGCCACCCTTATATATAGGTATGTATGCATATCACACAGTGCTGCTGATGATAATCATTGCAGTGCCCTTGAATTTCTTAGAATTAATTATTCTCAGAATTTTTGGTCGACTCACCGTCTTGTGGCAGTACTCTGCTGTATCAACTATATAGCATATCATTCTCTCATCTCTGTCAGACATCTGAAGATACAACAAAGTTATAGGAGCTCAGTCCAGAAGTGTATTACCAGCACAATTTAGCAAGTAAAATTGAACAGAGATAATGGAAAGAAGTTGTAAGAAAACCTTTATCTGCACATCCATGCCAGTAGCAGCTGCAACAATACCAATACCTCCTTTGGGTAGTTTAGCATATAATTTTGTTGCATATGCTTTGAGAATTTTTCGGAATACCTGATCACAAAGGACAAATGCAAGTTAAAATCATAAATAATATATATATATATATATATATATATATAATATATATATATATATATACATATATATAAACAATTACAAAACCAACAGCTGAGATTTGTATCTAGAGTCCTATTGGTGAATAATAAATAAGAAAATATAGAATAAGGGTTTGTTTGGGGCAGCTGCAGCTTATTGAATAATCTGTTGATAAACTGATTAAAAATAATTTGCTGATAAGTTAGGTGCGATGACTATTACAAATTTTTATAATTTTGGAAAAGTCTGACCACTGTCAGAAAGTTCACACCGCACCTAAATAGGTGCGGTTTGAAAACGCCGTTTTTGGCGTTTTGAAAACGCATAAGCTGCCAAAACACAGTTGACCCAAACAGGCCAGGTGCGTTTTCAAAACGCCACCGCACCAAATAAACTGTCCCAAACGGACCCTAAGACTAAATTCAAGCCATTAATGCATAAAATAAATTTTAGAAAAATTATTTCTTGTGGTATCAAAGCTAAACCTTAACCCTATCCATCGCTACATTACCACCGCTCCTCACTTCTCGGCCGCCAAATCACAAGAACTTGTCCACTGGTTGAAGGGAGCGGGGGGGGGGGGGGGGGGGGGGGGTGCCCCACGAATCTCGAGGAAAGCGTTGATATGAGTAGGATCTCGATCTTGATGATAAGATAGATCAAGATAGGGGCAAGAAGAGGAAGTGACATATGATCTGTGTGATCTAAACTTGGGCCCTTCTGATTGAGGATATCAGGAGATGAAGATAGTGCGGGAGATAAATGACTGGAGCTTTCGGGAAAGATATATCCTGAAGTTCTGAAGGTCTTGATCTGGCTCATATAGTGAGCTAGCGTCTCGACGGGAGCCACCACTTTAACATGTGCTTCGACGTAGGAGAAACTAAAACTCCCTATGGATCTGAAGCTAGATGGACCGACCACATATTTGAGTTGGTCGCGTTGGATTGAAGATGCTTTGATAGGGAAGAGACTAGAGACATCTAACAGGAGTTGAGCTAAAGAGTGACAGTGTTAATGGGAATGACTACAGGACCACACATGCCTTGCTTCACACATAACTGCTCAACTCGATGGTTCCATCGATTGTCTCATCAGTAGATAGAATTCAAAAGTTGAGGGACATTTGGGCAAAGCTGAAAAGAATCTATGTTGCGGCTGAGAACTAGATTCAGCGTGAGATAAAGGCAAGGTACAGGGTGATAGATCGATTCAAGAGTACTCCATAGATCTGGAGCGGCTATGAGTAGATCTTGATCACTTCTCACCGATGTCAAGCTATGGTGATTCGGGGTGCAAAAATGGGGAGATATTTGCACAGTGAGGACTATACAATATCTGGCTTATGTGAACCCGGTCTTTGATCAGAGGAGATCAATCCTCTTAACCCATGTGAAGATCCTATCACTAGATGAAGCCATCACTGTGATGATAAAGGAGGAGTGTCGCATGAGGCTACCTCCATTTACGTGATCAACTTTGGTTGCCTCAAGCTTAAGTACGACAGTTGTCCAGGAAGAGACTCGCAAGTGTTACAATTGTGGTGAAGTAGGTCATCTAAGCATGGTTTGCCCTAAGCCACCAAAGGAGAGAGAGAGAGATAGCTAGGAGTGGACGATGCAGAGACTGCGTTTTCATGGTTGTGGTGGTCGAAGAGGTGGAAAAGGGGGCAACCAGGCAAATCTGATGGTAGCAGAGGACGAGAGAGAGACAAATGTGGTCTTTATCGATAAGGATCGTGAGTTTCTGAAGATATTAAAGAGAAAGCAGAAAGCAACAAGTGATGGGTCTGAGGATGTATCCACCTTGTCATCATCAAGGAGCTATCTTTGCTACTTATGCTCACCTGACAAAAGTACTCATGATACACATGCTCTTATCGCTATTTCTATAACAAGATCACCAGAATAGATAATAAATTCTAGTCCGTCTCGACATGTGATGGGTACTGCTATAGGGTTATCTTCCTATACTCAACTAGCAGTTCCAAAGAACATCCAAACTATTGATAGCAAAACACAGTCTATAGTTGATAAGTGTACGATGAGGTGTATTAATTCTATGACTTTGTTCAATGTTTTACATGCTTCTTTCTTTCCAGCGAACATTTGATATTCATATGGTGATCTTTCAAAAGAAAGGGATGGGTCGAACACTTGAGACTGGAACATGACATGGTAGACTTTGGTACTTAGATAGAGGGATGATAGACTCGGCGTTGAAATCCATGATGGAGAGTGATGGAGCAGAAGGATCTGGGAGAAGTTTGAAGGTTGTGTTGTGCTACATAACAGACACGTGAGACACTCTTGTTTTAATTTATTGAGTAAATAGTATCCATCTCTGTATGAAAAGACAATAAACAAAAACTTGCATGTGATACTTGTGACTTTGGCAAGCTTACTTGGAGATCTTATATCAGTTATGGGAATAGAAGCACTTGTATTTTTGATTTGCTACATCCTGATGTTTAGAGATATTGTTCTACAAATTCGATGAATGATTATCTATAATTTGTAACTTTTATTGATTGTTTTTCTATTGTTACTTGGTTGTATTTGATGAAAAATAAGAGTAATGTATTTACTTGCTTTAAAGATTTCCATGAGACAATCCGTACTCAATATGATGCAGTAGTGAAGATATTAATGCATGATAATGAGACAGGGTATACCGATAAGGCGTTTGGGGAATACTTATCAACCCAAGGCATACAACATCAAACCATATATCAATGCAGGAGCACAAAACAAAATTGCAAAAAGGTAGAGTAGACACCTTCCAGATGTAGCTCGAAGCATGATGATCACGATGAATGTCCTAAAACACTTGTGGGGCAAGAAGTTTTGACAGTTGCTCGATCGATCAACAGAATACCCTCGAAAGTATTATATTAGAAGTCTCCTTGTCAAATGTTGAAAAAAGTTAATAGTGAATCCTCCCACTGAAGGTAATTGGTTGTGTATATTTTGTGAAGAATAACAAAACAATCAGTAAGGAAGCTGGATTCCAAAGTTGTGTATGTTTTCGTGAGTTATTATGATACCTCGTCATATTGGGCTCTAACGATAGAGAAGAGACTGCTTGTGAGCATGAATGTAACTTTTAAAGAATTCAAACTGTACTACTGAAAGTGACTCACCAGATATTGGAGGTATGAGCCGAGAGGGAGAGAGTGGTGATGGTGAGAGATTGGTACATGTGGGAGCGATGTTTTGCTTTTGATGTGAGATGAATCGGCTAAGGAGCTAGAAAATGAGGAGTTGGAGCATGAGGAAATTGAACCTGAAGGTGGTGGGATTCGGTTTCAAGGGAGCTGAATGCGTATACAAGAGAAAGCAAAATGAGGGAACAATGTTTGCAGTACCACTCGTGCCAGCAATTCTCTTGTCCCAGTCTACCCCAACTCTTGAAACACCTACACCATCTATCTCATGCTCAGATTGCACAAGTGATATGATTCCTCTTTCTTCTTCCACGCCTATGATTTTAAGGAGGACATCTCACAAAAATGCGGGACATCCTCCTGATTGTTTTTGTTTCCCACATAACATTGCTCAGATGTCTCATACTCTAAAATATCACCTGTAAATGAAGCATTCATAGCAGCTTTGGACATTGTCTCTGTACTCAAGTGCTTGCAGGTATCTAAGGAGGGTCCCAAGTGGAAAGCGACCATGTATTAATAGCTTTAAGCTCTCTATAGAAACCGAACATGGAAGATACTGTCACTACCAGCGGGAAAAGAGTTGATGGGTGCAAGCGATCTCCGTAGTGAAACAAAATTCAGAAGAGAAAGTGCAGCGTTACAAGGCACGATTAGTGGCAAAATGGTACAGTCGAACATATAACATTGACTATGACGAAACCTTTGTACTAGTAGCAAAGATGAGCACAACGAAATCACTAGTTTCTCTAGTAGCGAATAGTGGGTGGATGTTACACCAACTCGATGTGAAGAATGTGTTTCTTCATAGTGAGTTATTAGAGGAGGTGATATAGAGATACCGCCCGGATTCGACACATGTTAGACAGTGGGCGTGGTGTGCAGACTCAAGAAGTCGTTTTATAACTTGAAGCAGACTCCTCAAACTTAGTTTGACAAGTTTAGAAAGACAATGGTGGGCATGAGATATCAACAAATCAATACCAAACATATGGTGTTCTCTAGACAAAATGGAGATCACACCACTATAGTTGTTGTGTACGTTGATGACATGATTGTCACTGATCATGATGAGGTAGAGATTGCTCGGTCAAAGGTAAGATCAAGTATAAAATTTGAGATAAAAGGCCTTGAACAATTTAGATACTTTCTTGGGATTGAGATAGCCTGTGGACCAGAGGGGATAGTTTTGTCTCAAAGGAAGTATGTACTGGATCTTCACACGGAAACAGACATGCTGGGATGCAAGCCTGCAGTCTCTCTAATTAATCAGAAGACCAAAGTGAGTGCAGAGGCAAGAGAACCAGTTGATTGCGAAGGGCACCAGAGATTGGTGGACCGTCTGATTTATCCGATTCACACTCATTCCAACATCTCATTTGCAGTGAGCGTAGTGAGCTACTACATGCATGTTTGTAGGGCCAAATTGGTCTCTTGGAATAGCAAGAAACAGTTGAAAGTAGTGAGGTCAACATTAGAGGCCGAGTACAGGGCCATGACCTTAGGAGTTGCCGAGATGATGTGGCTGAGAGCCTTGTTGGTAAAGCTCAAGATGGACCAAGGAGCTCAAATGAAGTTGTGGTGCGACAACAAGCCAGCAATCAACATTGCCAACAACCCGGTGCAACACGATACAACCAAAAATGTGGAGATTGATAGGTTCTTCATCAAGTAAAAGTTGAATAACGAGCTACAGAAGCTAAGTCATGTAGCCACTAGAGCAAGTGTGATACGGTAGCTAACCCAAACCACAAAAAAAATGCAAATATTATTGCTGAAATTGAAATTGGTTACAATGACGACTCTTCAAAAACAAGAAATAAATAAAACCAAACATAAAAGACACCTAAGGCGAAGGCGAAGGAGGTGGATGCAGGTTGGAGGGTTGTGGGTCCAGTAGTAGGGTTGAAAAGGGGACGGTGACGACATTGGAAGATAGGTAGAAAGCAATGGGAGTTGAAAGGGGGTGGTGACGACACTGAAAGATAGGTAGAAGGTAGTGTCTGGAGCAGAAAGGTTGGAGGTGGTATTACGGTAGCAGGTTGGGTTGTGAGGGCTCAAGGCAGTAGGTGGAGAGGACAATAAACTTGTGATGAGTAGAGACTAAGGTAATGGGATAGTGCAATCACCAGCTGCGAGGAAAGGTGATTCACGATGGCTGATGGAGAGGGAGGAGAGGTGCAGCTAGCAAGGAATGAGTTACAAAGGGTTTTGCGATTGCAGGTTGGGAGACTAGAGGAATCAAAGCCCGAAGGTGGAGAGGGAAGAGGGGATGCGGCCAACAGGGAAGGAGATACGGGGTGTTTAGGCAATTACAACTTGGATAGTAGGAGGGTGACAACAGAGAAGCAAGCAACAAGCAGAAAAAATAATAAGTGCGTGAAAACCATACTCACGCGACCGAGTTACAGCTGGAGCACCTCTCGAATCCATTAAGAAGATCACCACCTCAGATAAGTTACAACCAGAATACCTCATCGCCTTCAGATACAATCTTAGAAAGGAAAACAACCGCTGATGGAAAGCTAGACAAAAATCTGAACTCAAAAAGACAAAAACTAACCCTAAGACAACAAACAAACATATTTATAAAAACCAAGAGGGAGAGGGGGCAGCCTCTACCCTAGAGCACTAGTCGGGCCACCCTTCCTGCTGGACCGGTCCCATCCATGTTGCTAAACCAACTGGTTCAGCCCAGTCACGCCCCGCATCAAATTGGTTGACTGCCTCACCAAAGGGCTTAGCTTATTAGATTTGGCTAGGTTATGTGACAACATGGGCTTACTAGATATCTTTTGCCCATCTTGAGGGAGAGGTCGAGATTTGTGTCTGATTTAGGATCCTATTAGTAAATAGAAAATGTGGAAGAAGTTTAGGGATTTATTATATAAGCCCAAGTCATTAATGAATAGAGCAACTTTTTAGAGGAATTATTTCTTATACAACAAAGAAAAAGAATACTTGGATCAAAATAACATGGTAAGTTAAGAGATTTACATCTATCCAAATTGTAACAGGCCCTCATTCAAATCTAAATAGCCTCTGAGTAATCAGGAGAGCTATTGTGTTTAGCTTGAAATCTAGAAAAAATATATGTTTCTTATTTCTGCCACTTCGAGAAAAATAAGCTAAAATCTTTTATCCACTAAATTATAAGTAAATGTGAAGCCCTCAATGAGCCGCTTGAAAGCATTCCTAGACATGAATGTTGAAGCATCATCAAACCCAATATTCCATCTATCATCCAAACTTTCAAAAACAGTTCTAGATGAGTGGCCATGTTTTAATAATTATATGGTCGAAATAAAATTATGGGAACTTTTAATGTGATGTTAAAGATTTGAGTGGTATGCATGTAAATACGAGTGTTTAAGAGTTGATATGTAAATACATAAGAATTGTGTATGATGTATATAAATGACCCTATAATCATTGCAAAAAAGTTTAACCAACTTTTAGTTAAGCAGAATTGATAAGAAAACAATGGTAAAAGCTAGAACAACCAATCTACATCTACTAAGGTATTACCTCGAACAAGCTAAACAGTGTTTGATTCTTGGTCAATGCACTGCACCGTTTTAAGCTTCTCCGTATTATTAAGAATACCTGCATACATAGTATATAAAAACTAACCTCCATAATAAATGAATAAATAATGTATGTCCAAGTTTCAAGTCAAAGAGAATAAGTCGAATATGTGAATGTTTATGATGGAGGTGAAAGAGGAAGAAACTGTGTACACAACTTAGAGCATGCCAAGTGCATTTCGAGAGAGCATTCAATTGACCACACAAAATAGTTTCTATTTATCAAATAATAATCAACCACAAAGCATTGGATGCTATTTATGAAAATAGGGTTAAAAGATGTCAAATATTTTGATTTCAAATCCAATCCTACCTAATACAAAATATTCAAATTCAAACTTAATTTTATCCAAGAGGATAAATAAAATTCATAAATAAAAAGAAACTGGACTATTGAAAGCTTGAAAAGCTGATCCTGCAGCAATGCCAGAAAAACTGATCATTTTTCTACGCTTTTCGAACGTGATCTAATTAGGGAAAATATGCATATTAGTTTCCTCCCTAGACATGCACATTATATTTGATTAAAGATCAGACTAGATGACAAAATATGACCTGGGAAGCACCACTAAATTTCTCATATTAGATGGTGCTCCTATAATATATATAATCTATAAATTGATGTCAATAAGATTAAAAATCGTATGGCATAATTGAAAGTGAAGAGTTTTCTTGATAGTCATTTGGAATTAAAAATTGTAAGATGATTTAATAATGATACATTGTATCTACCAAAAATCATGTTGCTTTATTTCCTGTTACAATATTGTAATTTTAGATGCAAGAGTATTCACTAAGCCGTTAATAATCCACAATAATTTAAACTAATTTTTTCATAGATCTAAGTCTTAGGCAATAGAATAAGTGAAAGACGAGAAAACGTTTACAAAAGATGTGGCAAAACTATAAAAAGATAATTACACTCATAACTACTTTACTTTTAAGATGATTTAAATTTATTAGTTAGCAACTCTTTCAAGGAATGAAAAATTAATTTTGACAATTGTCAATAGTAATTAAAATTGAATTCATTGTGCAACTGTTTGTCCCCGCGTTGAAAATTTCAAACCCCCGAGCCAGGTCAAGACATTGTTTTTACTAAAAATATCTAGTAACACATGCACCATGTAATTCTAAATTTAGAAAATCTCTCAAAGAGGAATAAAAAAAAACAAAGATGGTCAATCTTAAATAAGTAATCAGCTTGTTAAGCAGAGAAAAGTTATTATTTAATCTTGCTAAATCTCACCAAAATTCTTTGGAAGTGGCATGCTCATCCTTTATATGATTACAATCCATCAACTTTAACATGCATTTTATGTATAATGACAGACTCTGCCCAAAATATCAACCAGTTTACCTTAATCCTGACACGATACTTAAGGACACAATTGCAAAAACTCGACTAATTTAGCATTTTTAAGTCCAAATTTCTTCTAAGAAATAAAATATTTCAAATTTTACTGATCAAAACACAATACAAACCCTTTTGGAACCAGATAATTTCTCCAATATCAAAGAGTTTGCACAGCAATATAAAAATTCATAATCTAAGTTTGACTATTTTTATTTTGGCTTATAGATTAATTTCACCGAAAAAAACGCATTAAAATGGCCATCCCACTTAACATTACTCTAATGCATACTAAATTGACATAGTTCAAGGATCATTTTGACTTTTACCTCTAGAAAAAGAAATTTGTAGCAATTACACCAGAAAACTTTACCTGCATGCTACTTGATAGAATGTTTGTCTGACTTCCCTCTTCAGTTTCCCAAGTTTCTTCCTATTATTAAAAACTGTAATAAGGCAAAATAGCATAGCTCCAGATTAATTTTTTCTTATTTCTCAAGGTTACCTGAACAAGTTTCTCCAGATGCTCCATAAGGGTCTTCTCCTCAAGTTCCACATAAACAGCTAAATGCGGCTCAAAACAGGAGGAAATTATACCGTGGAAGTTAAACTGTAAAGTCACAAATATATGAAGATATTATTCTGTAATGTATGTAATATGTATAGACAAGGACCAAGGAAAATGCAAGAATTATTAAAAACAACTAACCCCGGCACCAGGCACGAAAGAGTCTTTATTCTTGTCCTTCTAATCAGTACACAAAATGAGAAAAATCAGACAAACTAAAATCAAAACTAGCCCAAATATGAAAATATTTGGTACATACTAGCTCCATTCCACCTCCATCATGCATGGCGAGCTTTTTTTCATATTTTCTCCTGATATCCGAGACAATTTGGTTCTTATTTTTAGCCTCATCCAATTCTTCATCATTTCCAAAATCTTTTTCTCGAGAAGTTTTGTTTCCTCCAAATTTGTCAGCTAACTCTTCCTCAAACTCAAGGGTCCTCTGTAGTGCCTGTAATTTAAAGAAGATGAATAAATCATAATGCTATTGTTCACATGTACAAAAATTCTGCAATAAAATAATTATAAAATAGAGCATTTATATGCATACCACACAATTCCTATGAATTTACACATCTAACACCTGAACTTAACATTTTATATTTATTCCACCCAAATATTTTATATCACATAAAGAATACCACTATTTTAACTTTTAAAAAGTGAAATGCATAGTTTCACGCATAGGTAAGGTGACTTAAATGTAAAAATTGAAGTTTAGGTGTCAAATATATAAATATATAGGAATTAACGGGTATGTTCATAAATCATCCTTATAAAAATATTCCCATCTGTTCAACAAAAAAAAAAAAAACACAAAATATTCAAGTTAAACCATGTGTATTATTCTAACTTTGAGATTGCACTCACTTGCAAACATTGAACCTAATGAGGAGCCATGACTCAAGGCTCACAGGGCTCACATGGGTCTGAATCGGCTGAAGGAAACTGGACCTATTCAGCAAGGGTAGCAGGGGCCAGCTGGCTGTCCCTGGCTTCGGTTAGGGCTGCCCCGCCCAATGGGGAGGGGTCTCTTATATATATATCAGGTATTAATAGATGGCGCTCCCGCTCACGCTTGCGCTCTGCTAGGGTTTCGCCATGGCGATACCTAGTTATTATTCCACTATAGCCCTTCGTCAATCAAGATCTGCTCTTTCGATTTCACCATTTCCGTTATTTTCGCTGTTGTCGCTGCTGTCAAAGTGCATCGCTACTGCTCGTGCGTCGGGCTCAGTTGTCGCGCTCGGTACTGGTCGCAGCACTTTCCAGCTTCCAGTTTCCAGCTTCCCACGCAATCTGAAACCGCTGTTTGAGCAAATCAGTCCTCAGGCTCGAGCTGTTGCAGGGGCTTTCGGTTTTCTCCCGTTGGTTTCGGAGGTTGCTCTCTGCTTCGCTGTCTTCACGATTCTTAACGCTGCTCCTCCCTCTATCGGGAATGGTTTCAGACAGATTGTATGTTGCTGCCCTTGCGAGTGCCCACACCTCCGGTACACCTAAATCATGCTTCTTTCCCTCCTTCGTTTGAGTGGGCGAAGGGCAAAAAAAACTTGGTATGAAAAATGGGAAGTCTGTCATCTTTTTTACTGAAGCTGAAAGTATTCAACTTGCTTCCTCTTGTCGACTGAATTTGGTCGAGAAATTTCAGTATGGTCACCCCAAATGGAGCTGATTCGCAGAGAATTTGAGCTTATGCACCTTGTGGGAAGTGGAAAATTGGATTGTTAGATGAACGCCACATTCTTAAACAACTAAATAATGAAAAGGATTACACGCACTTATTTGCGAGCATGATAATTTGGATTGATAACAAAGTAATGAAAATTCTGAAATAGTCTGTGGATTTTGACCCACAGACGGAACCACCAATCATTCCGATTTGGATTCGCCTCTCTGGTCTGAAATTTCATTACTTAAAAAGTTTTATACTCTATTATGTATTCTTATGCCTCAGCTTATGGTAAACCACTCAAAACGGACATTCCTACTTTCAATCTTTCTCGTCCATCTGAAACCAGAGTAATTGTTGAACGAGACATCACTTCATCCGCTTCTGAGGAAATTTGGTTGGGCACACAGCACCATGAATATTGGCAAAAGATAATGATTGAGCATTTTCCTTCGTATTGTTCAAACTGTCATATGTTCGGCCACTCCAGTTCTCAATGCGACCATCTACAACCTCACCTCAGATCAAAAAAGCACAGTGCTCCGACAGAGGCAGTGAATTCATCCCCTCCTGATCAGCTCCAAGTACAAAAGGATACCCATGAAGATGTCACTATTCTCACGGGCAATATGACAACCATTCAGTCCCCTCACAATATTGTAGCTCCCATGTCTTTGGAACCTCTCATCGTGGGGGAGAGGGAGATTCTTCAGACCCCACCAGTCCTAGAACCTATCACAGATATTACAGGTGACAATACTTCTACTGCTTCACTACCGTCTCATCAGCTAGAACAAGATGTTAATGTTACTCAAGCTCATAGGGATCATGATGAGCAACAGCCCACACCTGTCCAACCAAGTTTGGAATCTACTGATCAGACGAGTCAATCATCGGATGAGGAATGATAGGTCTACACAGCCAGGAGGAAGAAGAAGAATGAAGACTTACTTGAGCTCAGGAATCTGATGGATGATACTTTGGTTACTCCGGGCAATGGTACTCACCTCACCTTACCATGGTACTCACCTTACCAATTTGTTAGTCGGCTCACTTCCGAGGACTAGAGGCAGAGAGAGAACTAAAGTAGGACGTCCTTAACACTTTGGCGTCATTTGGTAGTTTTTTAGTTTTTTATTTACATTTATGTATCTGCCTTTACGTGGGTTTGTGTGTGTTGTATTGTGTGAGTTGGGCTTTCTTTTAAACCCTCTCATACAACCCCCTCTCATACAACCTTTCTATATCTTTTCCGTTTTAATATATTAGCCCTTGGGTTTTTTCAAAAATCATCTCGCTTTGCTATGATCATCGCTCCCTTCATCCTTGCAAAATGTATGTATGCATACATACATATATATATGTATGTATGTATATATGTATGTATGAATTTATGTATGTATATATGTATGTATGCATGTATGTATGTATGTATGTATGCATCCTCGCGTTGGCTGCGTCGTGTGTCGTCGTCATGTGCAGTGCTTGCGACTTCCGCTTGTCAACTACGTCGTGATTGGTTCTGCTCGACAGCACCTCCCGTCCCTCCCACAATTTTGTTTCTGCCGCTACTTTCTTCTTCTCTAAGACCATCTCGGTTTCCTCCTTCGCACTACACAACAATTTGTTCGGCTACTCCGTCTGCTACACTCGGATGAGCACTCAGATGGAGCAGAGTTATGCAGGTGTTGTGTCCGCGGGTTCAGAGCCTGGTTTCCATATTGGCAAGTCCTGCAATATTCCACAATCCTTCCACGAGGCCCTTGAAGGTGGTGGGGATCACACTTTTATTAAAAAACTTGGTAAAAAAACGGGAAGTCTGCTCTTATTCTCACTGAAGTTGAAACCAATACTTTTGCGTCTTCTTGGCGTTTTGCTCGTGAGAAAATTTCCTTATGGAAACTCAAAACTTGAGATTATTAGAAAAGGTTTTGAAGCTATTGGGCCGTTGGAAAATTGAATTACTTGACGGTCGACATATATTTATTCAACTATCTCATGATGTCGATTACACTCGTATATTTTCTCGAAAAGTTATCAAGATTGACAACCATTTTATGAAAATTCTGAAATGAACTGTCAATTTTGATCCAAAAGCAGAGTCCCCTATCATTCTTGTTTGGATAAAGTTTTCGTGGTTAAAATTACACATTTTCAACATGAAAATTCTCTACTCCTTAGCAACTGCTTACGGCAAGCCTCTTAAGGTTGATAATCCTATGATTGCTGTCACCAGACCCTTTGTGGCTTGTGTGTTAGTTGAGAGGGATGTCACTCAACCAGTTCCGAATGAGGTACGGATTAGAACCACTAACAATGGGTATTGGCAAAAGGTTGAAATAAAATCACACCATCCTTATTGCTCTCATTGTAATATGTTTAGTCATAGTTCTATTGTTGTTTCAGATGACGAACATCACACCCAAGCCGTTTTACCCCGGGATGCTCCTGCTTTTGAACACTATTCTAACTGCTGGATTGGAGCATGGTACTCTAGAGTCTCCTAAAACATCTCCACATACTACTAGTACTAATCCAAAAGTGCTTATATCACTCACTGTTATTAAAGAATGCTCACTTACATGTCAAGACATGAGAGTGCTCCTTTGATCCAATAAAAAATCAGTTGATACAACAATCAGTTATTTCTAATCTTCAACATCATATACATGTCCGACACACTTTAGACCAATCCACTGATAAGGCGAGTCAATCTTCGGATGAGGAATGACAGGTCTATTTCGGGAGGAAGAAGAAGACTGGAGGCCAACTCGAGCTCGAGAAGTTATTGGATGATACTTTGGCCACTACTGTCAATGACACTCATCTTACTAATTTATTAGCTGACTCCATTCCTAGAACTAGGGGCAAAGGCAAAGCAAAATTGGGTCGCTCTCTAGCTACGTGATAATACGTATTTTGGCTTTTTTTGTTTTTTTTCTTTAGGTCTCTCATGTAATTTTCTGTATTTTCTCTCTTTCTGGAATATTTTGTATGTGGTGGTTATCGTGGGGAAAGGGTGTCATGCTTGGGTCTTTCCACACAATTTATATGTATCATTATTTTATACACACACACGTATGTATGTATTTTCCATGTGTTATGGTTTTGATTTTAATTTTCTTAGATTTATGCCATTGGCGTCATTTTCCCTCGTTAAAGGTTGTATCCAAGAACAAATGGTACTTCGACTTGTATCCTACTCTAAGGTGGAGATTACCTTTGTATATTTCTTCTCTCTCCCCTCCGTCTGCTTACTACCACCCCTACCTGTTGTCGCTCCCTTAATTCTTGTTGTAACCCTTCTACCAGCATTCCTATTATATGGTGTAACCCCTCCACCAGACTTCCCTCCGCGTCGTAACCCTTCTACCAGCCTTTCGCCCTGCCTCAGCCCCACTACCATATCTCCTCCCTATCGTACCAACCTTCCTCCCTATCGTAACTCCCCCCATACCTGCCATCATCCATCCCAACAACAACCCCAAGCTGCTAGCCTTCATCCCACCCCACGGCTACCCAACCGACAACCTTCCACCATCAACCTACTCAACCCACTCAACAGGTTACTTGCTTGCTTTCTCCCCCCTACAACCCTCCATAACCCTTGCTTCCTCTCAAACCGAAGCACCACCTATCCAACCTATGCTCTAGTTTTGTGTGTCGTTGTTTTCCTGTATTCAGATGTGATTGCAATCACTTTTGAATTTCAAAAATAATATTCACACTTTCGTTGCTATTTGGATTAACTCCAGTATCAATTTATATCAGAGCTAATCTAA